GAAATGGAAAGATAAAAAAACATGCTGTTTGATGAGGAAAAAAAATAAAAGGATTAAATAATTTTCAAGGAAAATAAACAAAATATAGACAAATCATGACAAATATATTTATGAAACACAAACAAATCACTTTACTTCATCGTTTTGGAAGTAAATATATGTTTTCAACATTTTTCTCCTCCTGGTTAGGACAGCGGCTATCGAAACATTTTTCTTCAATGAATAGTAAACTCTCTTCATTGTCTTCATAGAAAAAATCGTAACAAATAAAAATTAACAATCTCTAACACACCACACCACCACATCACAGATCATTCTTTATTTATAGTGGATCTATGCAAATCAATTTAAGTGAAACTCAAACCCAATTTTTTCCTTAAATTTATTTAAAATTAAGGCAAAAAATTATTTACATCAAATTGAAGTCAGTAGAACTCCAATCATATCCAACCTACAAATTCAATTTTTAATATCCATCGAATTCAAAGCTCATTAAATCAACACTTAAACTCAATCTAACATGCAGCTAGATACCAGCATATTCTTATCTGTATTCACAAAATTCTGTAGCCCAAAAAATAATAAACAAAAACTAAACTCAAATCTTAACCAAGCAGTACTCGAACGACAAAAGAAGTGCAAAAACTAAGATCTGAACAGTATTTTACCTTTCAGCAAAATGATAAATGGCGCATATACCTGTACGTATGTGTGTGCATTGAGTTGAATAGAAGAGAATTCAATGTGATTTCAGACAGAAAGAGGGAGAAATTAGTGGGTGTCGGAATGGAAACCCTAGGTGTTCTTTTATATATGAAGTTAAGTTGTCCAGCTGGCTCCTACAGTATGGATGGATACAAATTTTACAATTATTCTTACAAAATATTAGAATTTGAACAAATTGATATATATATTTTGGGTAATGTTGTTGAAAGACTTGTCACTCTATCAATATTTAATTGGCATGTATATTAATTTTTCTTGGTAGATTTAAAGTTATTTATTTATTTATATTTTTTATTTTAATTTATATAAGAATACCATTTTAACTTAGAAAGTTAATTTTTCATCTTTTGCAGAAAAATTTCATCTTAATAATATTTTTGGAAAAAAAAACAGATTTATTTTATTTATTTTTTATTAAATAACCCGAAATATAGAATACCAAAAGGAATAAAA